TAATTGTTATAATTATAGTCTAAAGATTTATTTTGATAAAAAAAATTTGGAGACTTAAATTTAAGGATATTTTTATAATTTAACCCATATATATAATCAATATAATTCTTTAGATAATATGATTAATGAGATGTTTGGGAAAATTATTTTCTCGACTAGAGTGGAATGAATAGTGTAGTGAAAAGATGATTAAATCACTTTACGTTTTTGAGAAGACATCTAGAAGACATGATTTTTTTTTTGACATTGTCTTCCAAACATCTACTCAAAGACGTCAAGTAATTCAATTGTTTTTTTCTTTCTACATTGTTCATTCTAGCGGTGAGCAAAACTCGACTCGATTTGAAAAGTTAATTTTTTTTAAAATTTTGAGTTATTCGAGTCAAGTTATTCAAATCAACTCGAATTATCAATTCGATTTTTGAGTTCTAGTCCAGTTGAAATTTTAAAATTTTGAGTAACTCAAAAAATAAAAAATTTGGATGTGTATTTTGACAGATTTGCGATTTGGTCCTTGATTTCTATTCCTTCAATTCCTTTTTAATTTTAAGTCAAATTTTTACCAAATTTGAACCACATGCTCCTAAACCATCATAGAATACATATATACTTTCAATTCCACTTTTGATATCAAATTTTCTATTTTTTTAATTTAGTCCTCAATTTTGTATAATTTTCGTATTTCTCCAATTAATCTTTCATTTTAAGTACGTTTTTTACTAAATTTAAACCACATGTTCCCATACCACTATAGAATAAATATGTAACTCCAATTCTTAGTTTTTACTAAAAATAGGATCTCTTGTTTTAATTTAGTCCTTTAACTTTGTATTTTACTCAATTTAGTCTTTTGACTACAATTATTTACAAAGTCTTTCTTTACATCAATTCTTTGACTCCTTTATACTCTCATTAATCTTTTATCCTCAAAAGACCTTCTTTGAAATATAATGTTGTAAATATATTTTTATAATTTTAGATTGTATGTTATATATATTAAGGGTCCTTTTGTTTCACGTAAAACATTTTCCGAAAAACGTTTTTCTCACTTTTCAGTGTTTAGTTGGAGGAAAACAGATTGGTCAATGTAAATCATTTTCCTGGTCAACATAATTTCCTATGCATTTTCTGGAAAATGACTTGCGGTTTAATTTTCCGTAAGTCATTTTTCAAACTTTTCACTTCAAAGCATAAATACTCAAAATAATAATATTTTATAAATTAAATATTAATATGATATTTTAGTATATTTTAATAAAATTATTAATTATTAACATATTTAAAATATATATTTATTAATATTTTTAATAATATAATATAATAATAATATTATTACAATAATATACTCAATTATATTATAATAATATATGATACTATTATATTCTCATTTTAATAATATATAATAAATTATTAATAAAAGTTATATTATTTATTAATTTCTTAAAAATAATATTTTTGAATTATTAATAGTGAATACTTTTATTTGTGTATTTAATATTAATATAATAGTCTAATAATATTATAAAAATTCCTTAAAATATATTTATTAATAATTTTAAAATATAATATAATATTTTTATAGATATTCAATATAATTTATCATATTTTTATTTTAATAGAATACACTAGAGTTAATGTTTTTATTCATAAAATTATAGAAATAATATTTTAATAATAATATTGACATAAATAGTATTAAATATTATTCTAATATTTTTAAAATAATAATATTAAGTTTATATAATAAATAATATTATTTATTATATTTTATATTTGCAATAAATAATTTCTAAAAAAATTATCAACTAGTGAAAAATGGTTTACACAACATCTTCCAAACACCATAAAACATTTTCTAGAAAATGTTTTCCAAAAGATGTAATTCATTTTACGGAAAACATTTTCTGAAAAATATTTTCAGTAAAACAAACGGACCCTAAATAACATTGTAATGTAAAAAGAATATGAAAAAAATATATATCTTATTTCATTAGAGAAAATTGAAAAATTAAAATAAATCCGTACTATAATACTATAAATAATTACAATTAAATTTGTTTGGAAACTCGAACAACTCGACTAGAAATTCTTAAACTCGACTCGACTCGAAAGATTTTAAAGTTAAGTTCGAGTTATAAAATACAACTCGTCAACTTGAATAACTCAAAATTTTTCGACTAGACTCAATTGACTCGATCGAAAGCTCACCCCTAGTTCATTCTATCCTAATTGAAAAAATAATAAATATAATTTTTCTAGAACGTTATCTCATTAATTTTACCATATATAATCTTTAAACTATATATATATGTAAACTATTTATTAAGGGGCTTTTGTTTCCAAAAGACAAAAGAGATACAGAGATAGAGAGAGAGGGCCGCTGGTGACAAGAGTACATGAACAAGTCACAGCAAAAAGCAAGCCGATTGTAGGGAGCATCGCCTGTTTCCATGCTTGTTTTTAGTGTGTAGTGGTCCATCCCATTTCTCTGCATTGACCCCTTCACCAGGGATGGATAGAGCGATACGGTCATACCCTTCATAAATTTTCAAACCTCTTATATTTAAGTATTTTCCTTATATTTTATATGTATTATCTAATGTCGTATCTCTTACATTTATAATATAATTTTTTAAATTTATACCTTATAACATAAATTTATGCACCCGTCATTGTCCTTCTTGTGTTTTCTACTCAGTTTTGGTAAAGCAGCCCGGTTGAGCCATGCTGTTGGTGTTGAAGGAGAGATATAGGGAAATAACATTAAAAGAAATTTAAAAAGGACCAGTCACCTTATTTAAAATGTTATAAAATTATTTTTTTCACAAACATAACAATTTTTTGGTAAAATTAAGAGAGAAATTTGATGTTTTAAAAAATAGGGATTTGGAGATATAGAATTAATTAGATAAATAATTTGATAAAATCGTCCACATACTAGAATAATTTTGATAAATAATTTTATGTTTACTTTTATTTTTTAAGATTTTAATATTAAATCATAAAGAAATAAAAATAGAGGACTAAAATATTTTTTATAAATTAACATTAAAATAATTTTAGATGTCTTTCACAAAAATTACTATTTTATGTTATTATAATAATTTTATAAAATTTTATTTTAATCTCTATTTTTTAATTTTATTTTATTTTAATCTTGAAATTATAAACAAAATTGAAACCAAATTATGCGTTACTGCTGATAACTTCATTAAAATTATCCACCTTGACGATTTTATCAATCATTGTAGAAATATTTATATTTTCTTAATTAATTCTATATTGTATTTAAATCTCTATTTTATCACATTACACATTTATTTAAAATTTATATCTCTCTAAAACATATAAGATATCTCTTACAAAAAAATTTAACATATTTGTAACGTTGATAATAACACAAATAACAAAAACACACGGGTTATAGTCAAGGATTGATTGAGGAGATGTTGGAAGTACGCTTTCATCTCTGAAAATTTTAGATTATCTTATAATTTAAGTATTTTTTTTATATTTTTTATTGATAATTTAATTTTGTGCTTCCCGATATTTTGTAATTTTACATCCCTAATTTCTAATATAAGTTTCTAAATCCGCACCTCTTAACATAAATTTATATACCCGTCCCAAATCATATTAATAAGTTTGGTAATATGCAAATAACATAATATATAATATATAACTTTCTCATGAGAAATAACATGAATATCATATGAACTCATTAAGTGACTTTAGTGATTAAAGTGAATATTATTTCTTTTGACGTTTTAGGTTCGAGCAATTGTGTTTGCAGGCAAGGGCATAATTAGGATGAAATTATGGGAGGGGCCAAGTTGTTTATCTTTGAAACTAACAAGGTTTTAAAAGATAATTAAACCATAAATATAGAAGATTTAGGCTTAATTTCACTAATTTTGAAATTGTCATGTCCTAAAAAGTAATCAAACAAAAAAGTTTGACGCAATACTTAATTTCATTTAACTTTAAAACTAATAATATCTTAAAAAATAATTAAACCAAAAATTTTTAGAATGTCAGAACTTAATTTTAATGGTTTCAAAACTTTTAAGAGTTTAAAATATAATTAACCATAAATAGGGATGAGCATGAGATTCGAACCCGATGAGTTTCGACCAGACTCGACCAGATCGGTTTGGGTTTTTTAGATGTTGTGCTTGGATCGGGTCGGGTTTGGGTTTAAGGTGAAAAATACATGACCCAAACCAACACGAGAAAAACATATAATTTTACCTTTATATTTAAGGATAATTGTAATAATACCCCTCTATATATTATTTTTTCAGTTAAATTCCTATTTTATTGAATAATAATAATATTTTTATTAAAAGTATTATTTTGGGTTGGATCTGATCGGGTCGGTTCGATTCGGATTTTGTCTAAAAAAAAGTCAAGGTGGATTTGGTTCAGGTTTGGGTCAAGTGGAAGGTGTATTTTTCCGATCGGGTGTGATTTAGATGGAGAATATATAATTTTCGAATTGGGTCAGGTTGACTAGAAATCCAACCCTATTTGACCTATGCCATCCCTAACCATAAAAGTTGCGGTGGGCCTATCCACCATCCTCCCTATGTAATTCCGCCACTAGTTAGCATCCGCATTGTTAATGATTAAATATTACCCTTATAATAATCTCATATTATTAAAAAAAATTGAATAACATGCATTGATAATGCCAAAAATCTAAGGTACACAAATTCTAATGACATTTTATATTACTTTTATGTTACAGAATAATGTTATAAAAAGGACATTTGAATGGAACAATTCAATTGGTTTGAAGTTAACCAAGCTATTTGGTATACAGAAAAAGAAACATGCTTGATGCTCGCTCAACAAGACTCGGACATTCAAAGGTTAAAAATAACAATAACATGTCTTAACAGTAACACGAATCCGCAGCCTCACATTCGTCCATGCCTTTCTCATTTGTCACTTGTTTTTTTAAGTTACCTCCATTTGTTTCTTTGAGTTGGGAAAAAAAAGTTGTGAAAATTTATATAAGTAGAATGGTGGAAGTAGTGGAACCAAGTCGTGTACTTTTGATAACCCTTTTGTTGACTTTGCTGGTTACTTCCGGCATCGCTCAAAACCAAGACGATGGCGATGGAGAGGTCGACGATATGGCCGGAAGTAATGTACCGAAGGAGGTGACGTATGATGGAAGGTCTTTGAAAATTAATGGCAAAAGGGCTCTTCTCTTTTCAGGCTCCATTCATTACCCTCGCAGCACACCAGAAGTACGCAGCTGTTACTTTTTGATTTGATTTGGTGCAGTTAGTACTAATTTGTTGTTGTTGTTCGGATTTGGTCCAGGTCTGGCCCGAACTCCTCCGAAAATCGAAAGAGGGAGGCCTGAACGCGATCGAGACGTATACTTTCTGGAACGGTCATGAGGCGGTTCAGGGGAAGTACAACTTTGAAGGACGATATGACTTGGTTAAGTTCATCCAGTTGGTTCACCAACATAAACTGTATGCAGTCCTTAGAGTTGGCCCCTTCATCCAGGCTGAGTGGAACCATGGGTAAACATTCCTATTTGTTATTAAATCATTGAATCTTCTATCAGCTTTAATTTAATTTTTTTCTCAACATTCAGAGGATTGCCATATTGGCTAAGAGAAGTCCCAAACATCGTATTTCGTTCCGATAACGAACCGTTCAAGGTAATCTGTCTTCTTCTCCAAGCAATCTAGGATGAACATTGTACATAGGCTTTCACTAGATTAATGGTTTACTCTTTTGCAGTACCACATGAAAAGGTTTGTCACGATGATCGTCGACAAACTGAAGCAAGCCAAGTTGTTTGCTCCACAAGGAGGCCCTATTATCTTATCACAGATTGAGAATGAATATAAAACCATTCAATTAGCATACAGAGAACATGGAGACAGTTATATTCGGTGGGCAGCAAAGATGGCCCTTAGCTTGGATGTCAAAGTCCCATGGATCATGTGCAAGCAAAATGATGCACCGGATCCGATCGTAAGTTAATAGCACATAAGTTACTAATTTTGATTGCTCTAAAGATGACAAACCTCAGTTTGTATCGAAAATACTGTTACGTTCATTGTTTTTCAGATCAATACGTGCAATGGAAGGCACTGTGGAGATACTTTCATGGGTCCAAATGGTCCCAACAAGCCTACACTGTGGACTGAGAACTGGACTGCACAGTAAGTATTTGATTATTGACCACGTTCACTCTCCCTTTACCTACGCTGATGCCATGGCCCTGTTTAATGTTGAATTTTAACGATTCAGGTTTAGAGTATTCGGAGATCCACCGTCTCAAAGATCAGCAGAGGATTTGGCATATTCGGCTGCTCGGTTCTTCTCAAAAAGTGGAACTATGGTCAACTACTATATGGTTGGAAAGATACTTGAATATCATGTCTGAGTTCAATTCTTATCGAAATGGCACTCGATTCAGGCATAGCTCACTGGTGTTTTTTGTGTTTCAAGTACCACGGTGGCACGAATTATGCTAGAACAGCCGCTTCTTTTATAACAACTCGCTACTATGATGAAGCCCCTCTGGATGAGTTCGGTAGGACTACGAATAATTCTTACCGGATGATCCATATTTTTGAATCCTCTATACAACTACCTTTTACATCATGTGAATATTGCAGGTCTAATAAGGGAACCGAAATGGGGTCACCTCAAGGACGTTCACTGGGCTATAAGGTTGTGCAAGAGAGCTCTATTTTCCGGTTCCCATGTTTTCGTAAAGTTGGGTACGGACAAAGAGGTAATCGTCTTTATAGACTGATAATTCGATATGGATAAAATGAGTTAAGCTGTTGTGCAATGCAGGCTCATGTCTGGGAGCAACCTGGAACTGGAATCTGTGCAGCTTTCTTGTCCAACAATGACACCAAGAAGCCACAAGTTCTCAATTTCAGGGGTCGGGATTACGACCTTCCGCCTCGCTCCATTACCATCCTCCCCGACTGCAAGACCGAGGTCTACAACACTCAAATGGTGAACTAATTTCCTGATACATCCACTTCTAGTAATACTAAAAGTTGTCGCCTTTTCACCCTACTAAATGTAAATAACTTTAATCTTGATTGTCAAGCATAGATCACATCACAACATAACTCGAGAAATTTTGTGAGATCAGCAAATGCAAACAAGAACTTTGACTGGGAGATGTACAAAGAAGTCCTTCCTACTGAACCAGCAGCTGTGAATCCGGAGCCAAGGGAGCTTTTTGAGTTGACAAAAGATCGAACTGACTACGCTTGGTACACAACTACGTAAGTTCATAAAAACTTATAAAAACCTAAACACATTTTACTTCATCTTAATTTGTCAGAGATGGAATGAAATTCTTGCTGCAGAATCGAAATGAATAGTCGTGACATACCGATGAAGAAAGGTATCCTCCCGGTTTTTAGGGTTGCAAGTTTTGGCCATGGACTCCATGCCTATATAAATGGCAAATACATAGGTAACTACAGCTTTCATAGTTAGCTTACATGTCACTCAAACTCAGGTGTGAGTGGAGAATCTGTAACATGTATTGAATCTCGGTGTCGATGTTAGGTACTGCACATGGTAGCAAGGTTGAGAAGGACTTTGTTTTCCAGAGACCTGTAAATTTCAAGGAAGGGCCTAACCATATTGCTCTCTTGGGGTTTTTAGTAGGACTTCCGGTAAGGCTCGCAGCAACTTAAACAAACTTTTGGGGATGAATTGAAATTTACAACAGCTACTGATTATCGATTTCGTTTACTAATCAAGGATAGTGGAGCCAACATGCATAGACGATACGCCGGACCTCGTTCCATCACTATCCTAGGTTTGAACACTGGAACACTTGACATAACATTAAATGGTTGGAGCCATCAGGTATCAGCCAATCAACTTTTAGACTTGGTATGGTAACTTTCTACCCAAGTTACACTGAAGATAGTCAAACAATTTCAGGTTGGACTTGATGGAGAAAAGCATCAAATATACACAGAACAAGGGTCAGAGAAGGTACAATGGACTAAGGCCGACGTATCAGAAGGCCTAACATGGTTCAGGGTAATTCCAGGGGAACTCTTTATATCTTGAAAACACAGAGTATGTTATGTTGTGCCCCAAAAACTGAAACTTGGTTGTTGAATAGGGATATTTTGATGCACCTGAAGGGAACAATCAACTTGCTGTACAGATGACTGGTATGTCCAAAGGCATGGTTTGGGTCAATGGCCAAAACATTGGGAGATTTTGGATGTCTTACCTCTCCCCTCTAAAGCAGCCGACTCAATCCGAGTATGCAACAACTGCAAACAAATGTTTTTATCAAAACTAAAAAGATTTGCAACTCATTTCTGCAAAAATCTAATTGATCAGGTACCTAATCCCAAGATCATACCTTCAACCAAAAAATAATCTCATTGTTATACTGGACGAAGAGAAGGGCGATCCTAAAGACGTCGAGGTACTTCTTGCTGACAGAGATACAATATGCAGTTATATAACCGAATATCATCTACCGTCCGTGAGGTTATTCGACACCAAAGCAGGCCAACTTCGAGCCTTGCAGAATGACTTGTATCCAAGAGTTGAACTCACATGTCCAAACCAGAAACTAATCGTCGACGTCGAATTCGCCAGCTTCGGTGATCCTTTCGGTTCTTGTGGGAACTACATGCTCGGAAATTGCACGTCTCCGGTGTCGAAGCAAGTTGTCGAAAAGGTACTATGTATCCCATATCTTCTCTATAGGTTTCTTGTATTTATGTTAGTCACACTGGGAATGTTTCTGTGGGGGTTTCTTTCAACAGTTTTGCTTGGAAAAATCAAGATGCAAGATCCCATTGCACATTGAAGAATTCAAGAAAAATGATGCATGTCCCGAAAGGAAGAAGGCTTTGGCCGTCCAAGTGAAATGTGCTTCTAAATCTTAACCGTGGAGCTTCATTTTATTATGCTTCACGCAACTTGTTGAGCTAAGCTTACTTCTTCTTTTCTTGGGGAGGGGAGGGGAGGGGAGGGGAGGGGAGGGGAGGGGAGGGAGTCAATTGAACTCCAATATTTTTTTCACTATACAGAGACGATGAATATTTGATTGGACACGTCAAAATTACTCTTCACCTTTCTGTGTATTTCATAAGCTTGAAATCGGATAATATTTAAATTTGTAAAAGAAAAAAAAAATGTAAGAGAATAGAATATCAAAGCTATATGCATAGAATATTTGATTGGACATAGGCACTCACAAAGTATCCGAAAAAGGAACAAAATTTGTACACTCAATACTCTCTACAAAATCCCACATGACTTTCAATGTTTAAGCCGAAGAAGTAGGTTTTGGAGATCAGATTCACAGTAGTTGATAAACGTGGAAAAGCTTCATCTTTTAGTTGTGTTATACCTCCTTTCTCGCGAGTTGTATTTTCGTTTTATTCCTCTGTCAACTAAAGTCTCTGGAGATTCATATTTTCTGATCAACAACAATCTTTGATATTATCTTTCGTAAATTTATGTGATTTATTAGAGTCAGATCTATCATTAGAATGTCATATCTATTTAACCTGTCAGTATATGAGTAGTAATTATGGCCTTATGTCTAACATCAATACTAAGGGTCCCTATAAATATATCCCCACGTTAGACAGAAGGGGCTCTCTTCCTCTTCAGACTTGTCGACCATCATTAATCAGACCTTATTGGTCATCTATAACTTTATCTTTAACCACTAAATATGAGCCTGCAACTCTCTACCTAAATTAGGAGGAAGTTTCTTATAATCACTACAATTTAAATATTATCACTAACAATTGGGACGACGAACATAAAACACCTCATGATAGAAAGGAATCAGTCGAGATGAACGTTTGAAGGTAAAATAACCAATATCACCCCATCCTTTTCCTATAATTTCTCCAGGTCTACTTGTTTTTTTCTGGCCAATGACTATAGATCGAGTTACAAAACTCCCATATGCAACTGCGAATTTCTTGGGCAGCCCAACGAGTAGACGACACCATTTAGAGCCTTGCTTTGACTTGTCCCGGTTTAGACCATGTGCGACTCCGACAAGTATAATTTGTGATATGTCACAAGATCTCAAAATTTAGAGGCAACATACTTTTTAATTTAGAAAAAAAAAATTATGATAAAATTAACAACAACAAAAACCTTCTAATTTTTTCTTTTATTATTTCAAGAATTCAATTGTAATCAATTTTCCCCAAAAAATTATCAAATTTATGGTGTTTAATGGATAAAAAAAATTCAATCTTCTTAAATTTTGATATTTTACAATTTCTGTCTCATTATAAAATATTTTAAAGGTCTTATTTTAAGAAAATAACACATGACTATATATATTTTGGGACGGACCTGCTCTCGTCGATCTGGTGGTTCGAATATATGGAAAAAAATCTAACTTGTGTCACCGTTAAACATCATCAACACAAAACTCACTAGTTAAGTCCTTCATCTTTGCCTTAGACGAGATGAAACTGTGTATATTGCAGATGATATAAGCATATCTGTAAAAGAGGGCGGTTGTGTATTGGGTCTGTTGACTTGTTGGGGTTGAATTAAATCTGTAAAATAAATGAGATTTTATTAATAGAGCCCATTTATTTCTGCATATATATATATATATATATATATATATGCTTAATATAACAATAATAATAATAATTAGTAATATATAATAATAAATACTGATGATAATAATAATAATAAATAGTAATAATAGTATATAATAATAAGTAAAAGTATAAAAATGTTAATAGTATAAAATAAAAATAATCTCGGGTGAAAACACGTGTATGTAATAGTTTTATTTATTTATTTTCACTTTTTCGATTTAAGATGTTGCATTTATGATTTATTCATTTTAGTGCTTATATCTTATATTATATATGAATTACTTTCCATATGAATACATTTTACTATTTATTATATTTATAATTATTTTTTATTTACTATTAATAAGAAGAATTTATTCTTTTAATTTTAAGGATCAATAATTAAATTAAAACTCAAATTCATAAAGTAAACTATAATTTCTCATTTTAATTTTATTAAAATGACAAACTTCTGAGTTAGTCCATCACCCCCTAATAAAGATTGATGGTGACTCCCTTGTACTACTTATAAATATTTATTCGAAACAAACCTTTAAAAGAGGATTAGTCACCCTTTATCTTAAAGACGTATCAACAGTAATAAGGCCAATAGATTAATAACTTTCAAATACATATATATTGTTAACGCATCCAATCACAATCAAATAGTGTCTAAGCTTGAAATTGTGTAATCTCAAACCTGTTTAAACCACTCAATCGTTTCTTCTGCCTCATTACATCCAAAACATATAGTATTTACAGTGAGTAAATAAATATACTACCATGCATCATTATGTTCATACATGCATATATCCCCACTTACAAATATGAAAATATATGACACAGCAATTCCACATATCCATCCCATATCAATGGTACATCCATTGTAAACAGTACGTTAGTATTGCATATCTTGATCGCTTAGCAGATCATGAAGTTTAGTTCCACAGTTGACACCATGAAAAAGAAAAGATTGAAACATTCTGCCGCAAGCTACATAGTTCATAACAACAGATAGAAGATTGGACTGTTCTCTATTGACTCTCCTACATACATGATCTATAACAATCAAAAACGGATTGGATTGGTCTCGGTTGACTCGGACTCTGATGCATATAAGAGCAGAGGAACAATTAAAGCATGGCAAAGCAACAATACTTCCATTACAAAAGAGGACAACTACAAATGGCAAGTTCATGATAGATCAGACCAAAGGAAGATACCTTTCAAGCTTCCGTAGCTTTAGGGGAATTTTCGGGTGTCTTCAGAACAGTTGTGTTGTTACCCTTGTTTGCCATTACAGCAACACGGAACTCTTCGACTATGGAAGCATCCTTGAACTTCAATGCGAATGTGGACAGCCCCTCTTTCTCTTCACCGGTACTACTATTCATGCAGGTAAAAGTGATACCTCTTTTATCCATACTTGTCAGCTTCATATCAGGATAAAGACTTGCATTTAGAATCAATCTATAATTTCCTCTAGCTCTCATGAGCAACCTGGCTCTTTCAGCCCCAGTTGTTGAGACATTCACCTTAAGTTCTCCCTTCCCACGCTCTTTCCAACCTCCATCTATGAATTCAAACAGTACAGAATCAGCAGAGAATACAACTTTCTCATTCTCTTCTCCTGTCTCAACCAGAACCTCCTGCATGGCAGGAAAACCGGTTCCCTCACTCTTATGGACAATTGAAGTACCTGATGTGTTGAAGAGGGAAGAGTTCCCATTTGTTGAAAGACCAAATCCAAAAGAACCCATACCACTATCCTTTGTAGTAGATCCAAAGGAAAATGAAGTAGTAGAAAATCCAGTGCCAGCGAGTCCTGTGAAAGCATTATGGCCACTAGAAAGCTGTTGATATGAATTCAATGATGCACCTTCTGCAGCTGAATCTGCATCTTCACTATTATCTTTGTTATCAGTATTTGCAGTCCTGTCATCTTTCTTATCTTCTTCCTTGGTCTCCTCACCACTTCCAGTTGGATTTTCATCATTGGCCTCCTTTTGAGTTTCTTCTTTTACAACATCATTGCTCTTATCCTCAGCACTTTCCTTATCGGCAACAGCACCAGAAACACACTCATCTTTTTTACTTTCCAACTGCTTAATATTCTCACTTGCGTGCACAACCTCTGTTTCATCGGGTTTTTTCTCTGACTGATGATTATTTCCATTCTTTTCAGTTTTGTTAATATCATTTGCCCCATCTTCAGAAACTTCTTTCTCACAGGCAATTGGTGCATCAACTGTAACCTGAGTGGTGGTTGTGCCGGATTCATGGACTGCAGTAGGTGCAGCAGGAGCAACAGTTTGTCCAGAAGAGGGGACTAAACAAATCCCAGAAAATGGATTGTGTGTGGCAGTTGAAGAGGTTTGCTTTCTGCGAACTTTGAGTATTCGCCTGTTTGCCAACACTTCTTCATTAGCCCTCTTAAACGTTCCAGTCTCTTGTTCAGAATAATTTTCTTCATCATTGAGCCCAGGGTTATCCCGAGAAATTTCTCTTCCAGCAGCCCTCTTCTTTGAAGGTGGAAGGGCATTTTCTGCATCCCCCATTGCAGCAAGAAGCCAATAAACTCAAGGACCCTTTTTGTTCAAACTAGGATATCTGAAGAAAAATAAAAAATGATATATCCAATGAAATTGTCAGAAAACAAATTATAGTTTCTCACCAGACAGTAAAAATGAAAAGCAAGAAATTTGTAGGAACGGTTGCAAGAACATAAAACATAATTTCACCAAAAATTATGTGACAGCTACATATATTTACCAACAAACAGACAACGTATGCCCAGATTTCAATAAAAATCTTATTAAAACATATGAACAGAACATAGTCCATCACCCAATCGGAAAATAGAACACTAAGACAAACATAAATGCAAAAGAAAATTAAAATTTTCAAGCAAATAGCAATATATGAAGAGCACAAAAAGGTAATAATCACCAATCAAATGGAAAGAATGTGTGTTCCGCTAACTAACAATTTTTGTCTTCAAATCAGATAAGCAAACTATGTGAAAATTGAACGAATCAACTAGATGAGTCTGCATAAATCCACTGGATGTTCAGAGTAGCAAAAGCTCAAGTAAATAAGAATATATCCAAAGTACCCTAGTCGATCATATTAAAACACACATAAGCATCACTGTGCAGAGACTACGAACAATATAATGATTAGTAGTCCACTAACTGCATAACCTGTAAACACCATGCAGACTCATTAATTAAATTTCAACTTTATAAACTCGGAAAAGATATTGTATAGTTTACTTATAAGACTGACTAATTACTACGATAAAAACCAATGTCCTCCCTGCAGGGAAGAACACTCAAGCATAGATACAGGTATAGCTAGTGCAATCTTTCTACACTTAATCCCAATGCTCAGGCAACTTCCCTTCTTAGAGCAGTTTGTTAATCATCAGTAACAACAAACAACAGTACAATATGATTTCAACAAACAGCAATCCCTCACTAATGTTTCCGCTACATGGTAGTATTAGTATACCATATTTAATTAGAGAAAACATCCTACTAGAAATGAAATAGGCACTAAATTAAGAAGATGCACGGGGAAAAAGCAACACCCTTCCCCAAATAATAAACCATGATCTTTTTTTAAGGAAAGAACCAGACTTTGTACTTCAACTCCATGATGATATCAAGCTGCAACTTACAGTTACCGGACAAAGGAATCTGTCAAGGAAGTAAACCTTAAGCATGAAACAGTAATATTCAAATTAATAGGCAAGTCAAGTGCCCAATAAATCTTGAACAAAGAAAATTAAAAACCATATCGGAAAAATTAATGGAGCAATCCTTGATCAATTTAATACCCAATGTCCTCCACTAATGAAATTTTCTATGCATTTTCCTTTTTCTTCTTCAGCTTAGAATTAAGAATTACATTTTCCCTCAAACTACTTATATCTATAAAAACACCCAACAATGTATAGAATAAAATGGAAATGACAACAGGATAGAATCCTCATTATGATATAATCAAAGGGGCACGTAAAACAAAAGAATCAAACAATGAAAATTGAAGTTTGAAAACAAAAGTTGGCCAACCAGCACTGGTATCAGAACATTTAAAGATTTAACACGAAATCAAACATAAAAATAAGTAATTGCAGGCTCGATAACAGAAGCTAGCAATTTGAAAATAGGAGGCAAAACCCTTTTCATTATCATATAAATAAATAAAAATGATCATGGGTATTTTCTTGCGTTTACATAAGCTAACAGAAGAGGAATCTGACGTTTGCCACGAAATAGATATTCAAGAACATCGCAAAAATGAACAAAAAAAAACTACTCGGACCTCATTTCTTAACGAGAGAAAATGGATAAAATAGAAAATCACACAATAAAAACCCCACACATAAAAAGAAAAGAGATTTATGAGAACTTACAAAATGGCAGAGGTAAAACCCTAGTGATAGAAAGAGACGAAGACAGGGTTCTTTGTTTTTTGCATTTAATAAAAAAATAAAGGGTAAAGTACATGTTTAGTATCTAGACTATTACATTTGTTTCATTTTGGTATCCAAACTTTAACTATTTTTAAAACAATACATACGTTTTAGTACACATTTCAATTTGGTACGCTTCGTTAAAAAATTAATAGAATTGATGACGTGATAATTTTATCTTTTCCGAAAATTATGTGGCATAATCATATGGTGACATGCCAATAACTCCGTTAAATTTTTAGTGGTAGGGTAAAAAAATAAAATTTTTAAACTAAACATTATGTATAATTTTAAAATAAACTAAAATTTAAATATTAAATATTAAAATGGAATAAAATTAATAATTTATATACTAAATATTTAATTTACCCTAAAATAAAATAAGTTGGATATGGAAATGTTAGTGACCGTCCCCGACTCCATAGCCCGTGGGTTTTTATAATACCCATTTTTTTTCATTTATCCACAATTATTCTAATTAATAATTTTATCATTATGCCTTGTTTTAGAGTGATTTTGATGTGCATTAGTTTAATTTAAGATTAAAAACAGTAATTTTGAGGTACAATTGAAAATGTGATAAAAAATTATAATAATTTAGGTTGAGCGTAACTTAAAATGTTATATTTTTACTAATGTTTTCGGTTGAATTTAAAATGTTATCAAGAAGATAATATTTTAGATTCAACCGAAAATGTTAAAAAGAATGTAATAATTTAAGTTACGTTCAACTTAAAATATTATGAGTTATTATCACATTTTCAATTGTACTCCAAAGTCATTTTTTAACTTCAAATTGGACTGTCGCACTTTAGACTTCCTCCTTATTTTAATTTTCCTTTCTTCTATTCAAAATAATAATAATTATAATAATATTTCTTTCTTTCTTTTTCTTTTCTAATATGATAAAATTTTGAGATAAATTGTAAATACAAAATTAATTAAGGAAACATAGGTGTATGAGAAATCATTTAAAAAATATATTGTAATGTTATAATAGAAGTTAATATTGTTGGTAGTTGTCATCTATCATGATTATTAATAGTCGTTAAACGTAAAATTTTATATTAAGAAGTTAAATTTTTAAAATTTTAAGAAGTGACAGATTTATAAAATTTTAGGGACAGATTTATAAAATTTTAGGGACAGATTTATAAAATTTTAGAAGATAAAAATAGATTTTTCCTTTATCCATCCTTGGTTTGTGGATGTTTTTAGTTCAATTTTTTTTTAATTTTAAGATTAAATTAAAAGAAAAGAAAATTATAAAAAAGAAAATTTTCATAAATTAAATCATTTGAGTGAAGTGATGAGTATAAGACATGTAATCATATTGTTGTCTAATTTCCCTGCTTTGTATTCGGTAAACTGTTGCGGATGATGCTATATTTGGGCTAATGATATAATTAGTCTTTCCTTCAAAAAAAAAAATATACTGTTTTTTGAGCTATCATTATTAAGGGTGTAAATGAACTTATGTTAAATGAATAATGTTATATTCATATTCGTTTTTATTTTTTAAAGTGTTTATGTTTGGTTCGTGTTCGTTTAAATTTTTAATATTGTGTTTGTGTCCGTTTATTTATTTTTGAAGGTGCTCGTGTTCGTTTATTTATTGTTCGCGAATGTGTTCATTTATATGTTCAGTAACATGTTCATTTATTGTTCATTTATCGTTCATTTATATATTCAACTTAGTTTTATCCGATCATTTGCAAGATAAAGAAAAATGATAAAATTACACCATTAGTGCTTAAACTCCTTAAAATTCACAATTTAAATTTGAACTTTTATCATGCTGTTCAATTTAGTCTCTACCTTCACTAATATTTAAAATGTTAAAAGAATAAAGGAAAAAAGAGAACCGGGTAAACGAACTTGTTCATAAACATAAATAAACGAGTTTGTTCGTGAACATAAACGAACGAAACACACCTCTGTTCGTGTTCATTCGTTTATTAAATAAACATAAAATTTTTGTACATACTTGTTTATTTAACTTAACGAACGAATATAAATGAACGTTATACAAACGGTTTACGAACAGTTCACCGAACACTTTATTTATTTACACCCCTAATCATTATATTATAAAATTCTAAAAGTAAATTAAAAGTGCAAGAATCAAAATAAAAAAAAAAATTAGAAAATTTGAAATAAAATTGTGTTTAACTTGGAATAGAAAATGATTTATGTTTTTTTCCGTCTTGTTGGAGTCATTAGCAGAGTCGGTGGCATCTGTCGACAATTTCGGATTTGATTGTAGTTGTTATCTATATTACAGGGATTAAATAATTATACGTATCAAATTCTTATAAATAATTATATATTTCTATAAAAAAATTAAATATGATATGTTAAAAAATAGAAATGAAAAATTTGAAATCACTAATAGAAATATTAAAATTAAAGGTACAAACGAAACTTTTTGAGACATTATTAATGAAAGGCGCCTTTTAATTTATCATTTTTATTAATAAATTTTAATTCCAACCAAGAAGGCCACGTCATCTCTTTAATTCTAAATATTATTATATGAACTCTCTTCATCACGTCATCTATGATCACAACCATTATAAATCACTTATCTCAGTTTTTTTCCATATAATTTTTCTCCAAAATCGTTATTCAGTAGTTTTCAATGATTCAAAACTCAATCTCGAATAATTAATATTATTGTTAATTGGAAAAATATAATTTATGGTAGTGTTTAATGATTTATCCTTTTTAATTTTAGTGAGAAACATAAACGATAATTCTATAGATGAAAAAGAAAAGATAAACAAATTTAAAAAATGATGAACAATAATATTAAAAAAGATTAAGATGTAAAATACTGAAAACTTTTAGACAATATATTATGGGTAGTTCTGCTGTACGGCAGTCTAATATAAGATTAAGAAAATACACTATCGGAAATGTTAATATTTTTTTAATATTTCCGAAAGAGCGTTACCTAAAATGTTTTTTTACCGGAAATGTTAATTTCGCTACCTAAAATGAATATTTCCGATAGAAAAAAATAACATTTTAGGTAACGCTCTATCAGAAATGTTTAAAAAATATTAACATTTCCGGTAGCGTTTTTTCTTAGCCTTATATTGAATATTTCCTATATTAACATTTTCGA